GCTTTCTAGGGTTACAGGGCAGACTGATACCTCCCAGTTTTAGTCTAGGGATAAACAGCTCATGATCATGGATAACGTAGGAGAAACTTTTTTTGAAAAAAAGTTTCAGTGTCAAATTGGCTTAACGAACTATCATATTGGTAAAATCTAATTCCTATTAATATCATTTCTATTTATTTTCTGTGTTGATTTCTTCTGTGAGTGAAAGATAGGAAGGAGGGATTGCATCAAAGGAGGTCTGTGTCTATGTAAGTTTAAAATAAGCTGTGAATAAGCCAAGCGCCAAACAGGGATTTACCAAATGTCATTTAACTATGTCACCTTCAGCTCAAACTCTTAGCCTGACAATGTTGCCTCTCTAATTCCCTGTTCACTTGCAGTTTAGTAAGGAGGCTCCCTCACATGAAGATTTTAGTAACTGTGTTTGATTAAAAGATCCATTTCTGAGTTTTTATAGTTCTTCCATGGAAAAAAGAAAGAGGGAGAGAGAAAAGAAAGGAAGAAAGGAAGGAAAAGAAAACAAAGAGAAAGAAAGGAAGGAAGGAAAAGAAAAGGAAAGAAAAGAAAGAAAGAAAGATTAAAGTGTACTCTTAAACCAAAAAATAAAATTAAATTAAATTAAATTAAAAAGCCACAGTGAGATTTGATTTTAAAGTAGTCACTCGTGACAGTAACTAAAGTTGGGTCAGTGTATTCCAGCCTTTAAGCAGCACAAGAACTTGATAAAAACTATAGACCTTGTCCTCGGAAAGAGACAATAACCACATATCAATTTTTTATTTAGTTTTATTAGGGATGATTCATGGAACCCCCCTGAATCCTATCCGTGGGCCTGGTCAAGAACTCACAGCTTTAGAAACTAGGGAGTTACAGAAAGAACAGGGAAACAGTGGATTCCTGCTCCTCATCTCTTCTCTCTCAAGCTTCTCCTAACATCTGACCACTGGAGTCACAATTGTCACTTAATCGGCTGGGCAGATTCAGGGAACACATCTTAAGGCGAGGATAATACGTACCCAGAACTAACGCAAGGATTATGTAGGACTTGTTCTGTTTGTCTTTAAAAGTTGGGTAGGATGTTTTCCTTTTTTCTGTTCTACTGCCAACCTCAGGTCTTAGTGCTATGTTAAGAATATAACTATGTTAGATGCAATTATGAAGTGATCTAAAGAGAAAAGCAGGGTTTACGAGCTTTAATTGATTCTGCCTCTCAATTGTCAGAATTTTGAGTTTTTAGGAAAAAACTAAACCTTGATAAATATTTTCTTTTATAAAATAAATCTAGGGCAAATTGAAATTCATGACACATAATGAATTTCACTAATTAAAAACAGAATGTAAACTATTTTCATATACTACATTCTTACATTAATTAAGGAATAATCTAAAAGATTTGCTAAGGATGTTCCAAAACTCAAGTAGGTGACATGGTTGTCCTATATTTAAAATGTGACTAAACTTTTTGATTCCTTGTTGAACAAATGGAAATTTTTGTGCTTTTAAAATTATTTTTCTTTTCTTTTCAGCAGTATACTAAATCCATGGTTCCTACTTTTCAAACTCGTTTGTTAGAACGGTGACTATGCCAGACCTTCAGAATAATAACAGTAATGTCGTTACAATGAGTATCGGTGACATGCCTGGCACTGTTCTAAGCCTTGTGCATGCAGTGTCACTAATACTACATTGTTTTCTTCTTTTTACAAACCAGGCCAATGGGGTTCACAGAGGTTCAAGGACTTACACCAGGTTCCACGGTTAGGTTCAACTTTAGAAGCCTATTCACTTTCTACTGCTTCAGGGGCACTTTCAGAGAATTCGTATGCTAAGTCTGAGGCACACTCATTATAGTGACCATGGTGATGGAAGTGACACTGGCAATGAGAAAAGAAAGTGAGTCCTACCTGCAGTGTCATCCCTGGAGCTCCACCCCTCCTGTGTCTTTTCAACTCCCTGCTGGGTCCCTGAGTGCTCAAGCTGTCTCCCTACCACTGGGGTGGGGTCAGCACGGAGACCCCTCACTCTCTCCATAGATGTGACCAAAGCTCCCCACCCCCCGGAACCACCACGTGGTCCTCTTCTCTTTGCTGTCACTTCTCCTCTTCCTGTAGTAGCCAAAGTCAACGAGGCTGAGGTCACCACACTAAGGCTCTGTCTGCACCACGTCCAGAAACCCACTGTCCCCCTGAGGGTCCCACTTTGGCTGTGGTCCCAATGGGTCCCGATGCTGAACCATGCCCACAAGAGGGGGCGCAGGGCCCCAGCTCTGAGGCTGAGCCTTCATCCCCCTGTCCAGGTGCAAAGGGGAGGCGATGACCGTTGGCCTCTATGCGTGCTCGCTACTGATGCTGGGACGGTTTGGGAATTGTCACTGCATGTGATTATTTCTGGGGGAAGTCATTACCTTGAAATAGTGGACACTCGATTCATTATTGTTGAGTACCGAGGAACGCATATACTACTAGTATAAAAGAGCAAGGCAGCGTGAAGGCAGTAACAACCGAGCTGCTGTGTCCATTCTGAAGCTACTGCTAGTGTCTCCTCGCTCAATGATTTGGGTTTCGTTTTTATCCGTCATCCTATGAGTTTGAGGTTATTTGCCTACATCTTTTTTTTTGTGATTAGAACATAAATTTAATCAGTAAGATCAAAATAGAGTGAATAAAACATAAGAGTGGAAAAGAATGACTAAAAGGGATGTTAATAGGAAATATTTGCCTATATTTTAGATAAACAACTAATGTGATGGTTAGATGTGTGTTAATGGTTAGGAGTTGTGGGTTAAACTTCCATCATGGAGTCGCAGGTACTCAGCAACAAAGACTTATTGAAGTCCTACCATGTGCCAGGACACAGAACAGCGAATAAAATCAGGCAAAGGCCCTTCCTTCATGGGACATATATGGCGGTGACGGAGAGGAAAAATAAATAAATCAGAAATCAAAAGGATTAGGAACTTCAGAGAAGAAAATGAAACGGAATTAAGGGACAATCACGATGGGGTTGAGAAACCCAGTGCGGATAATTTAGTCGGCAGAGGCTTTCTTGGCAAGGGGACGTGTGAGCGAGCACGTGGGTGAAGGGAGGGAGGAAGTCACTCACGCTAAGGCACAGCACATGCCAATGCCTAGCGCGGGAACTGCGTTTGGCACCTTCGGTCAAGCGTGATGGGGCAAACACGTCTGGAAGGAAAAGGAGCAAAAGATGAGATCAGAAAGCAGGCAAGCGATCCACATAGGTGGGGACTTGGAGATCAGAGTGGATCGCCTCCACAGGGTCCTGTCTGGGGTTTGGAACGCCTCAGCACAGGTTTGTCACAGAGTGATGTAGTGTCAGCAGTGTCGTGACCTCTCAGCAGGCAAGTCTGGTGGAGACAAGGTCAGGAAGCTACTGCAGGAGCTTAACATTCAATCTAGTTCACCTCTGTTGCTCTTTGGGAATCAGATCAATCTGAAAGATCTAGGGCAGTCACTAAAAGAAACTCTGTGGCTCTCCTCAAAGGGTTGTGGGAAACCTTGACGACATGTCCAAGCTCAATGCCAGGCACGTGCAACCCTTGGGGCCACAAAGGATTTGCCGTAGATGCAGTAGCCTGCATGTGACCATGGATGGCAAGTGGGACAGGAGGCATAGACATTTCACAGCTCGAAAGAAACAATAAATATAAATGTGAAGGTCAAGGTGCATATTTAGGGATTTTTGATGATAGAAAACAGAAACCAAGCAAAGCTAACTTTAAAAAAAAAAAAAGTAGGAGATAATTCCTTATAAAGATATGGAGTGGCTCACAGAATGCAAGGGTAGGACGGCAGCCAGGCCTTAGAAATGGCTGATTCTGAACGAGTACATTGTCAAGACTCTCTTCATCTCTCAGCTCTGCATTTCTCTACCCATCTGCTTCATTCTCAGCCCCTTCTGCACCCAGAAGAGAATCTCACTGGCCAAGCTGGGATCGCTTGTTTACTCTTGGTCCAATAAGTTACAACCAAGGAAACAAGGTCAAGACGCATCGGCGAGCATGGCCGTCACAGCCATGGGAGTCACTGTCACAGGAGGTGGACGGTTGGGCAGACACGTGATCAGGCCACCCATCTACCTATTTATTTTATTTGGAGCCAACTTTGAGAACTACTCCTGCAAGAATTCCTCCCCCAGTCCAATTTTTAGGGGGTGAGATAGGATGAGGCAGGCAAAAAAAAAGTATATATATAAAATTACACAGTTAGTGCATTTTTCTCGTGAGTTGTGTTTTTAATGAGAAAATTTCTCCATCATGCCAACACGATATAAAGGGAAAGAAAAATCTGATACGAGGAGAAGATCTGGTTTAAATCTCGGCATTATCAGTGAATGGTCAGTTCTCAGCTACATGAAGCCATTGGGCTACATTCTCCCTAAGGTAGCTTCCGGATACTCTTTGGCTATAAAATAATATTTCCATTTGGCAGCAAGTAATTGCTTAGGGATTTGTTCCCGGGTTAATTGAAGGTACGCAACAAAAATGGTTAAGACAGGGTATAGAATTCTACAGGTCTGAGTTTGATCTTGGCCTGCCAATATTTCACAGTTGACTTCACCTAAGTTAGCAAGTTAGTTAACTCCCTACTCAAGTTTGCTTGTCTGTAAAATGCAGGGACAGTGACAATTTCAATGGGTTGTTGTACACATTGAATAAGAAAAATGTATTAAACTACCTGGCTCACTGTGGGCCCTCAGTTCTTGTCCTTGTTGTCATACTATGAAAATCTCTAAAATTGTCTGTGTCTTCCTTTACCACTTTGTATAAGTGTGCAAGTAGGGAAAAAAACCAAACTCTAAAACTCTTTCAAAGTACTTTTATGTCATGGACTAATGAAAACAAAATAAGGTTAGAGTCTGGGAGATTCTAGAGAGGTATCATGCACAAATAATACCTCCGTGTCATTCATACACTCACTCTACCCTTGAATAATTTTTAATTACCTTTGTAAAATGTGACTTCCCCATGTCCTCCGGGGCAGATGTGAAAGCATGGAGCTGGACAATCAAATCCGGGATCTGATTGAAAGAAATGCTTCCGATGCAAAAGGGGTCACCACGGAGGTCGTGCCATGTCCCAGAAATTCCTGTTCTCCAAAGGTAAGAAAACACCTTCTTTCTACTTCATCTCAATGTGCCCTTCAATAGTTTATTCACCAAGAAGGATCCATGGGGACAGTCCCCAAATCATTTACAGTCAGTCATATACTTCCTTGTCGCCTGAAGTGAAGCACTATAAAACTTGTACACAGTCACTTCCTGTTACTAAAGAAATCCTTCACAAAAGGCACCTTCCAGTTGAAAGTGTTCAGGCAGCTGCGACCACAAGAAAATGAGGAAGAGATCATGGTATTAGAAAGAATGTTTAATACCATGACAACTCTTTTTTTTTGGGGGGGGGGGAAGTAACCCAGTTAGAGTAAACCCATTTAAATTGGGTTACTAAAATCAGCACAAATGCATGCTCATGTTTTTGTGTAGTTGGTGTTTTTGTTTTAAGAAAAAAAAGGTTGTACTGATTAAAGGAGTTGTTTGACTTTTAACTTCCTCTTGTTTTAGGCTATTGATGTCTATGGTGCTTCATATAAGCAAATAAAATTCAAGGGTAAGCTCAAGCTAGGAACTCTGTGAACAACTTTCTAGAAATGCCTCATAAATTAACAACAGGAACTCAGACTCTGTAGTCCTCCCGAGTAGAAACCATCTTTAGTGATTATTACAAAAAAAAATATCTAATGAGTAGATTGACAGCATGGCTAGCATAAAAAAATAAAAGAATTTATACTTCTGTTTAAAAATAACTTTAGTTCTTTCTAAAGTAATTCATGCTCATTGTAGGCAATGAATATTGGATAAACAGAGAGAAAACTATAAACATCATGCAGAGATAGATTTACTGTGGAAATAATGGAATAGGGGTTCCCTTAAACAAATATTTATTTTTATAACTAATTTGTATCTATAAAATTGTATTTTTTTCCCTCTTAAAGGAGGTCCCAGAATTGTGGAAGCCTTGGGGACCTGCCCCTGAAACCAGAGAGTGTCCCTTAGCACTGGGGAACTTTCTGTGCTTTTTCATACACACAGCTGTTTTGTTACCTTTTTTCACTTGATACGTTATGAATACTCCTGTATCTCTTTCTTTCCTTCCTGTAGTAATTGGTACTGTGTACCTGCTACAGGTAGGCACTTTTTCCTGTTTAAAAACTCACTTCTTCCTGAAAAGGCTGTCTTTATTTTTGAAGTTACAAATGGACGTTTGTTAATGGGTAGGGTGTCAAAAAAGGCTTCTTTCTCCCCTTCCCTTCTTCTGTTCTCCCCCCAGCTCCCGGCCCTCATCTATACACCTCTGACTCCCAACTAGAACTTCATTCTTTCTTGGAAATGTGTGCTTCCCCCGTGACTTCCTTGTCTCACCCCAGGAAGAAATCTCATGGTGACAGTTTCAACCCCTCCGGTCCCCATCCTCCTCTGCCTGTCGCCCTCTTAGACCCACTGCTCGGGACTGGCCTCCCTCGAGATCCTCTTCTGGATCCTTCCCACACTCTTGACAAAATATTCTGTCTCTTTTTGGGGCTTACTGAAATTTGTGTCTCCCTCCAAGATACTTCTTTGTCACCTCGTTGATGAAATTTGCTCCCTCTCCCGCACTCCACCCACCCAGGTGAAGGATAGCAACTTCGTAGCTGGTGTGTTCTCTCTTCCTTTGGAGTATGAGGCAGAGACCTCTACAGAGTGAGAGGGTAAGAAGTGAGGTCCAGGGTTTAAGGAAATTTGGGGGGGGGTGGTAACAAAACAGTCACTGGGAGACAGGGAGGCACAAGAGATGAGTGAGAGTAAGGGGAGGTGCTGAGTAGCAGTGAGGACCAAGATGGGTTTGAAAGCCCCCATGGTAAGGCCAATTGCTGAGCAGTGCTGGCATTACCATATCTTCAGTAGCTCAATTTCCTCGAACTACTGAAAGAAGCCTTTTTTGACACCCTACCCATTAACAAATGTCCTCAATTTCCTTGCACCAGCTCAAAATGGGTGCACAATTATCCTCCTCTTTAAACATACATGAAACCCCATGGTGGTTTTTTATTTTTATTTTTTTTTTTTTTGAGACAGAGTCTCACTCTCTTGCCTGGGCTATAGTGCTGTGGCGTCAGCCTCGCTCACAGCAACCTCAAACTCCTGGGCTCAAGTGATCCTCCTGCCTCAGCCTCCCGAGTAGCTGGGACTACAGGCATGTGCCACCATGCCTGGCTAATTTTTTTGATATATTTTTAGTTGGCCAATTAATTTCTTTCTATTTTTAGTAGAGACGGGGTCTCGCTCTTGCTCAGGCTGGTCTCAAACTCCTGACCTTGAGAGATCTGCCTGCCTCGGCCTCCCAGAGTGCTAGGACTACAGGCGTGAGCCACTGCGCCCGGCCCCCCATAGTGTTTTATGGGTGATGTTCAAACTCTTATACAGAGCCAGCCTACTGATCACAGCATCCAAGACTCTCCCTCTTCTATTACACCACTAATACCTCTGCCTGGATAAATCCAATGGTCACCTTGCATCTATCTTTATTTTTCTCTTGTCCTCTCATCTGCATTTGACACTAGTCACTAATTCCACTTTCTTAAAATGTCTTAGTCCATTGACATCTGTAATATTGATCCCTGCTGCACGTCTGGTGTTGACCAGTGTCATGGTCCTTTCAGTTTTCCATTGTTTGGGTTTTTTTACTGCTGCCAATTGAGTGCCTACTGTGGGCCAGCACTTTGCAAAGCATTTCTGTACATTAGTCCACTTCATTTTTACCCCTCTACAGATGGGGAAATTGAGGGCCAATGAGGCTAAACAATTTTCTCATAGTCTTAAAGCTATTAATATCTAGATTCTGGACCTAAACTCAAATCTGTCTAACTAGAACCATTGCCCTATACTTCCTGTTTTTAATCCCCCTCTCTCACATATGGGTCATTTGGGACCTGGGCAGAGCTCAAGCTGGTATCAGGAACAGTCCTGTCACCAGAGAAACCCCACCTCTCTGGGCATGTAGGTGCTTTAGCGCCACACTTGGATCAAGCCACTGTGACTTACTCTCTCCCCAAAGTAAACTATTCCAGAACAGCCCTTGGGAGTCTCCATTCCTTACCCCAGTAGACCTCTGCCATAGCCTTCTCAATTGTCCTCTGAAGGTATCTTTTAATATTTGATTCCTTGAATAAACACTGGTGAGTTTCCTGCTGGAATCTCTGCTAAATTGCTATTTACGCCATAGCACTCTGCAGAAGGAAATCTTATATTCAGAACAAAACAAAAGCATTTACATTCTTGCTAAGATATTGGTAGAACTAAAAAAGATCTAAGAAAACATCTATTTGGGTAAGACAAGGGTGAGCCAGTGACAGAGGGTCTGTGGAAGGCTTTTTACATTGAATGAAGTGAGTATAAGAATGATAGGGTCAACTTCCTTTCCAGGAGCAGGAAATTATTTTTTTATGACTTTATAAGATGGGAAGGATGTGACTGAATACAGATGATACGATTCAATGAAAAAGCCTGAGATATATGTCAAGTTTTCTTTCTGCTCAACTACTATTGTCAAGAATACAGAAGGAGGGAGAATTACTATAAGAGAAATGAACAGATGGACTCACTGTTTTGAGGAAACAGGAAAACATTATTGATGGACATGAAGAACTCCATCAGCACGAAAGGACATTTCAATATTCTCGAAGAGTCGAAGAAGAAAGTTAGTGAACAAAGGTCATTTTGTCTTCTAGGTAAAGGAAAAATAATTGGCTAAGTGGGAATAATATTAAGATTCCAAAATGAGTGTTAAATGAAAGTTATAGACAAGCAAGATACAGTCCTAATACTATGAGAAACTTAATATATGAACCTACAGTTGTATGTCTTCAAGTACCAAAGGAAGGATGGAAGTCTTGAAATGTATTTCTTGGATAAACAAACACATTTGCAGTGATGTTTGGAAATAAGAATGTAAGCTGGGAGTGGGGAAAAAAAGTGCCCACATCTTAAGAAGATCCACCAGAATCCAATTTGCTTAAGAACCTTCTCCTGTCTTTGGATTCTATTTTTTTCTGATTTTAACTTAGAAGCAGCACCAGAAATTGACCGTTAGTTACTTTGGACACAAGTCGAGGGAGGATATCCCAGAGGCTGGGGACATGCTTCTGAAAGTAAAAAGCCTTGAGAAACTGCTTTGGGTGGTTCAGAGATTATTATGAATTTATGACATTTCAAAAGATTATGGGGGAAAATCTCCTTACAAACTACAGTAAGTTGACAGGTGTTTTCTGTAACCACATTGATGAAAAAAAGATCTAGTTTTCCTTTCCTTTTTTCCCTTTATTGAAAACTAAGTTGGCTATTTTTTTATCAAAACAAAATTTTGATTAACGAAGTCTCGTTTTCTCATCTGTAAAATGGGATAAGACTATAAAGCGAGTAGAAGTGAGGAAGCACTAATGTGCTAAACTAACACAACATTATCATCTCTGTCATTGTCACCACCATTACAATGCCAATGGGTTTAGCTCGAGCCTCCCAGTTTTCTTTAATGGTTTTCTCTTACAATTAATGGCTTCCTCATTATCTAATTTCAGTGGTTGTAGCTGTGGAAGCTTTGGTCCTTCCTATGACTATTAGTTTTTAGTCTTCTGATTCTAGAAGTACTATGAAACCTCAAAATTCAACTGATTTGTGGGTAAAGAGGCCAGGTTGTGTTTCCCAAAAATATCACCATAGAGTTAGCTTGATTCCATGGAGAATTTATAACGTATTTCTCCTTCCATTCATTTCAAGGATTTTAAAAAGTTTCCACTGCCCATGAATACTGGATATATATCCAAATAAGGAGATCTGGCTGTGTATGCCCAGTTGGAACTCTATTTTGTAAGCAAGTGTACCACTGGCCATTGCAGGAAAACAGAGACACAGATCTGTAAGCTAAAATGGGACCCCAAGACAAAAGAATTAAAACTCTTAAAAAACAAAGGAAACAAAAGCTCTTCCTAACTCTTGAGAGGCATCCACTTGTTGAACAGAAGGTTCTATACAAGATAGGAGAAGGGAGGCAACTGGAAAATGAATGGAGG